GATCAGAACTGCTTTTAGAAAATAAATGTTTTTGTCTAAAGGCTTATTGTGCTCAGACTGATCAGACTGAATGTACCCGCTGAATGTACTAGTTATCAGCTTCTCTTACAGTCCTTCTTACCCTAAGCCTTTGGGTGGTTATACCAAATGCCATCTGACTACATTTGCTTGGGAGAAATACTCAGTTTACTGTTTGGGAGCTCTAGCAAGAAGGTTTTTGATCTGCATTCAGTGCCAGCTCTCCTTGTAGTTGTCTGGTTCTGTACTTCTCAGCTTGGTGAGCTGGTCCACATCTTGCTTCAAATCTTCCCTGTAATGCCGAGTTCTGCATAGTTCACTTTCCATTGCAGATCGCAGTGAAGTTCTTTTACTGCAGAAGGAATGGCAGTCCTTTTGCTGAGAGGAGAATATGCATGTTGGACTAACAAAAAATGCTTACTGAGGCAGCTGAAATAGGAGACAGTACCCTAGACAGATGTTGATGCAGAACACTTGTAACCTGGGATGTGGGTGTGATGATGGAAAGTGACTAAGGGGACTTGATAGGTTAGAAGAAAGATTTGTGGTAGTATTAGTGCAGTTATGGAAGAAAGGTGATTTTCATCTAAGTAAGCAAGTTGGTTGTATTAAAATAAAAAATAGAGTGTTGTTTTAGCATAATACTTAAACAGCAGTAGTAGGTTTCTGGTCTGAACTTTAACTAACTTAAACTAACTGCCCTTTAACTGGTTTCCAGTATTCCAGTCATGCATTTAAACAAGAAGGTAAGGTCAAACCCTGGTTTGATCTCCTTTGGAGTCGCACATATGAAGTGTATATGTATACTTTTAGCCAGAAGGAAACATTATGACGATCTAATGTGACCTCTTATATGAACTGGGCCATGTGTTTGAGCCTTGCAAGTGGACTCAATAGCTTGTGATGAAACTAAAGAATACCTCTAGAAGACATGAGGTTTCAGTCTTGATTTGTGGTCTTTTAGTGGTGTGAAATTGTGTTCTTTAGTTGTGTTTAAGAATGGATGAACTTCAGAAAAATAATCCTAATTTCAAGACAGGCTACTAGAGCTTGTGATCACTTGGGCTTTTCATCAAACATCTCTCTGTATATGCCTATGGATGATGTTCTCTAGAACTAAACAGACTGAGCTCACCACTCTCCACCAGCAAGGCAGCCCTGCCACAGCTCTGGCTCTCTACTTGAAGAAGGGCTGCTCTCCGGCATCTTACCTGCTTGGTGTCAGGGGGGACATATTTACCTCCATCAGCTTTCTCCTTCAACTGCGTTCTATTCAGATTAAACCAAGAGAAAAGAACAATATGAAAGATGTTTATATCTTTTTCTTTGTTTAGGACTTGCTGTTGTCCCAATAAATTTTCTGTAATATTGTAGCCATTCCAAGTATTCCAGTCACCTTTTGACTCTCTCCAAATTGTGACTACTAAAGTCATCTTTGCCATAATGGTGAGAAAGTTGAACGTTATATTTTTGCCATCAGATTAATGCTATATTGCCATAAATGTTGATTTTCCTACTGTCCTTTTTCTGTCTTGCCTGCCCGTGTTGTTGTTCTATACTGAGTGGAACACACTTGATACTTTATTAGTCCTTTGTGTCTTTTGATATCATACACTCTTTGACAACCTATTTCTTCTACCTTATGAATGACAAATATATTAATGCAGTTGATTGGAAATGTAATATAATTTTCTTTGATTCTCAATGGATTCTGTTTTCTTGTGTTGTGCAGTTTTATTTTTCTGAGAAGACTTTTTGCATTTGGTTTGAGTATAAAAATGAGACTGAAAATGCATGTGTGTGTAAATTGTCATAAGTCAACGAGGAGAAAAGAGGTCTGCTGGAGAAAATTAAGATCAAGGTGCAAAGAAGCCTAAGGATATGAAGAGCTCCAGCATGCAAATCAGTCTGTGTCTCTCACTTACAGAGCTTTCCCATTCTCTGTGCACTCTATGTCCCCGTTTGCTGAATGTTACTGCTAATGGGAGGGATTCAACATTTTTAAGTTCAATTCTTATATTGCCTGTTCTGTCTGGTTCTTCACACACATTATACCACGCATGTACACATAGGATGTTGGTAAAGACTTTCATGTGTCTACCTTAGGAATAAAAAAATCCCCACTGACATTTTCTGTACATTATCCCAACCATTCCTGTAGAATGTTCTAACTTGGTTATATTCCTGCCCTTCAGTTTCTGTATGCCGTGTTGTCTCCTGGGGTTTTTTTTAATGATGAATGTTGTTTGTTGAAGAGCTTTCCTCAGTGAACCTTACTTAATAAAGTTACTGTTTTAAGTGTTAGTGTCTGTTACACAGAATTTTCTTGTAAAGAGCAGTAACAAACATTATTTCCCTCAGATCTGCTTTATCAAATGCCTCCTCAAGCAACTAGAGATGTTAGGCCTGCCACCTCATAGCTGGTTTTATCTTTGTGGAGAGAGGATTAAGTAAAATGGAGAAGTCTTTCCAGTAACAAAACACATTACTTAAGCCCAGTTATGTGAGAGTCAGTAAATATCACTTGAGTTGACTGAAAGAGAAGCAGCTTTTGTCTGTGGGTCACTTTTCATCAGGCATGCTACCTGTCAGCTTGCAGTCTTGTTGGCATCAGGTTACTTAGCCCACCTTCAACTGCTGACATAACTGGGAACAATTTACAGAATGATATGGAAAGTGATATTTTGACCTTTTCCAAAGTGGAAATCTGCTAGTAACAACTGTCATCAGGATCAGTTTTTGTGTCTGTGTGTGCAGCTTCAGCCTTGCCCATAGCTGGGTATGGATAAAAAGCTGAATTAAATACTTCTCTTAGCACTGGTATGGCTGCATTAGCATCGGTCCTCCTGAAGCTTCCAATGTAACTTAATAGAGGCTCTTTTCCTTAATTGGGGTGAGATATGCCTTCCAAAATGGACATTGGTGGATGACACCCTGATGTACCAGTTAACACGGTGTTAACCATGCCTTTCCTCTCCTGTTTGCTGGGAGATGGAGGAAAGCCATGGTCTGCAGCCACTGCTTGGACTGCCAGTCTGCAGTGCTTCTGTGCATTCATTGACCCGACCAACTTCAGCCTATGGTTTGAAGAAACTAACTGTTCAAAAACACCACCTGAATTCCCTGATAATCAAAAGGGGGCTGAAAAATGGCAACTGGACTGTGAGCACAGCTCCCAAGTTTCTCAAGGCTGCTAATTTCAGTGAAACCAAAGGAAAGTGAATGTAAGTTCAGCTATCAGCATATACCTTTTCCTTTTTTTTTTTTTTTTTTTTACCCCTGGCTTCTTTAGGCTTAGATTTCTGTGCAGTACAAAATTTAAACTTTAAGGCAGATGAAGTGTGATACTGATTTATATTTAATGGCTATAAGTGTTTGAAATGTCATTTGTTTGCCTATACTATGACAAAATTCTGAACTGAAGCGACATAGACACGTTTTTTTTGATTTCCACAAAATTCCCAATTGCTCTAGACTAACAGATTTTTACAAATGGGGTTAATTAAGTCTTTGCTTACAGTGATTATATTTAAGACAGCTTGCACTTTAGAAAATACACATTTTTACATTCCCAACTTCACAATTACACTTTGGTTTTTTGCAAGTGCTTTCTTGCGGATTTCTGTGCAAGCACAGAATTGGGATTCCAGCTGTTGACTTTGTCAGTTGAGTCCTAGCATAACTTCAGGCGTGGTTTTTCCCTTTTAAAAAGCCCTCTAAAATTTTATAAGAAACTCCAATCATACACTTTTTCAAAAATACTCTGGGTTTTGTTTTTTTGGTGGGACTTTTTTGTTGTCGTTTGTTTTTCTTTAGTTTTTAAATGATGCATTTAGGCTGAGGAAAAGCTTACTAAAGATTCTTTGTTAAATATACATGTGAGGATGTAATGCTGTTGTACAGACTGACACTAGAAATGCACTTGGAGTCACATTTGCCTTTACAGTCTACATTGCTCTTAAGAGTCAGAAGGGGAGGTAGTGTTTTATTGATAATGTTTCTGATATCTAATTCTTAGGTGAGGGTAAGATTTTATGTCTTGCCTTTTGGCTGTTTATTCCTCATTACAGAGATGTTTTCCCAGTTTTTTTAAAAATCCAGGTCTGCTTACAAAGTAATTTACTTTTTATTAGAAAGAAGTTGATGTTCTGTATTGACTTATCTGATGATGGTTATTATGCTGGCAAGCAAGGGACAGGGAAACTCTATAGCAGGCACAGACTGAGGGGATGAATCCACTTACTGCCAAAAGCAGCAAATGGATTGTATGGTGTGTCAACCATGATAATACTGATGGACTTACTCCATAGTGAGTTGAATATTTTTTGATTCAGTGTTTTGGGACAAAAAAGTGTAATTATTTTGGGTTTGTGGTGGTAAATGTAACTTAGATTTTAGTTGGAACTGGCTAGTTGTCTGATCTGCAGAAAATCCAGATACTCCGTGTTCTGAATTCACCTCATCAGAAAGATCGATACTGTAAGTTTAAAATGTTGGAAGTAATAAACCAGATAAATACATTGAAATTCAGTCTTTTATGGAGCTGCTTTCTTGGAAAAGTTTGTAAGAGTATTTTATTCTTGCCATTTATCAGTTGTGGGCTGTGTATGGTACTCTGAAATCCTTAGGTGAAAGGTGCTGGAAGCGTAAAAATCTGTATGGTAAAGATGGTGTAATGCTGAATCCCAGCAGAGAGGTATGTTGTAAAGATTTGATTCTTGAATGTCTTTATGACTTGTTACTGTGTGCTTGTTTAAGAATTGCAGGATTGCATAAAGAAAGCAGTTAGAACAAAAATCTTGAATATCTTTACATAAGTGTGAAATGAGTAAAATAAACATGGCCATCTAAAGCAGTGCCTAATTTATGTAAGGTGAACATTTATTTTCCTCACTCGTTCTGTTGTTTGAGTTCTTTTTAAATGACACTTTGACATCTTTTATATAAATTATGCGTATTAATGTAATTGTATTTACTTGTAGGTGGCTCTAACCAAGAGAGCTGATCCAGCTGAGTTGAAAACAATATTTTTGAAGGTATGTGTAAAGTAAATATTTTACTCTTTCTGCTTAAATTTTTCATATCTTTTGCTCCATTATTGCAGCGTACAACTCTTGATATTTTTTCCAACCATTAATCATTCTCTGTATTATTACCATGTTAGACTTAAATACCATTATCAGAATTGAACAATGCTCACCAAGAAGCCACATACATTCCTGAGTGATTATTGTATTGACTCAGAAGAAGTATTGCTATCTTAGAAAGAACCCTCATTGTTCAGAGAATGTGGTGGGAGTTTCAGTATTGTTCCTACACGTGGTAAAATGTTCGTGTAGACACCTTGCTGTTAGACCATTTGGTAAACTTTCTTATTCCATCTTTGCTTCCTTTCTTCCTTTACGGTTATCTCTGCTTCTCTAATTTCTAGAAGTATTGGGAAGATCACCTTGTGAAGTGCTGGCCATATTTATTATATAACTAAAATTCTTTCTGTGTTGGCCTGCTGTAGAAGTATGAAGGTAAAGAAACGACTCATTTACTTGCTTGTGTACTTGAGGGAAGTGTGCTTTAGTATTTTGCTGGAAGCTGGGACGTGATTATCCAACTCTACTCCATTCCTCTGAGACCCCACTTGAAGTACTGCATCCAGCTCTGGGGCCTTCAACACAAGAAGGATATGAAGCTGTTGGAGTGAGTCCAGAGAAGGGTCACAAAGATGCTCAGAGGGCTGAAGAAGCTCTCCTATGAAGACAGACTGAGAGTTATGATCGTTCCACCTGGAGAAGAGGAGACTCCAGGGAGATCTTACTGCGGCCTTCCAGTACCTGAAGAGGGCCTGCAAGTAATGTGGAGAGGGCCACTTTACAAGGACATGTAGTGAGAGGACAAGGGGGAATGAGTTTAAACAGAAAGAGAGTAGGTTTAGATTAGGTATTAGGAAGAAACTCTTACTGTTAGGGTGGTAAGACCCTGGAACAGGTTGCCCAGAGAAGTTGTGGATGCCCCATCCCTGGAAGTGTTCAAGGCCAGGTTGAATTGGGCTTTGAGTAACTTGGCCTAATGGAAGATGTATGTGCCCCTGGCAGGGAGGTTGGAACTAGATGATCTTTAAGGTCCCTTCTAACCCAAACCAAATTATTGTATGATTCTGTGAAACTGACTTTCTTTGACCTGTTTCCTAAATTTAAATAACTATCTTAGCCTTCCTAAGATTTATTAGTATAGCGTCTATATTAGCTTGGTATTCTGGTATGAAAAAAAAGAGTACAGTGGTTCTGTAGTTCTGAATAATGTATGCGAGATAGGTACCACAGTGCTGTAGAGAGCTGTTGTATCTGAATTATTTTTATGAAGGTGTTGAGTGCCTAAGAGAGCTCATACATTTCCAAGTTCTTCCCTCCACCTTCACTCTCTCCAGTATCATGCCCCACTCTCCATGTACTTCTTGGTATGTTTTCAATTGTCCCTTTTGAGCTATTCTTAACAATATGTGTAGGTGTCAGAATGTATATTGCCAGTATTTATAGTTTTATCATATACTGTCAGTATTTATAGCTCTGAAATCAGATTTTTAGTTGAGAAAGCTATGATTTAACTTATTAAGTCCTGGAATCTTCTGTCTGTCAGGAGAGCAAAAAGACTCCTGAAAAAGAATGGGTTATGTGATTTACAGAGGTGTATGCTTAAAGAGCAGGAGCAGGGCAGCAGATAAGGCACACAGTAGACCACTGACCTGAGAAGATGGTAGCAGTGAGGGAAGAAATAAAGACACTAGAGAGAAGCCTGGTCCCTTCTGCAATATGAGGTGATGCTCATTTGGAGCGGGGGGGAGGTTGGCTACTTGGTTTGCTGAGAATAGTGTGAAAATTGTTTCCTACCTGCCTGTGGGCGTTTCTGAAAGTTGTAGCACCCTTACTGCTTCGGTGGATTGAATGGGTCTTACTTGAGCACATTAAATGCCACCTCTGGCTTCTTTTTCTTCCTTTTCTGCTTCCCCTTTCACTGAAAAGAAGGGGTCTCAGTAACATGGAGTAATGGAATATGAGCTAAACATTTTGTTCAGTGTAATACAGAATTGTTGTGCCACTTACTAGTGAGAAGGAAAAAGCATGAGTGAATGTGGTATGTTGTTTCATGCTCTACAGATAAATGATGGCCAGAGTGTTAATTAAGCTGCTTCAGATGATTTTAAGTGGTGAGGCCAATACAGTTGCTTCTGCGGATAGTGGGATCTTCACTTACAAAATAACTTGACAACCATTACTTCTACTTCAATTAAGAATTAAAAAATATGATCGCCATGAAGGAGTGATACCCACAGTGGGAAAATAAGTATGAAACAATCAGCTTAAATACAGTTGATTGCAGTCAACTTTTAGCATATTTAATATGTCAAACCCCCGATAAAATATTTGCAAATCTTACTTTAAATGGGATTGAACTTGTTATTACTTGACTATCTAAAATGTATGTAAATAAGATACCAAAAAGCTGTTACGTACTACTGTATAATATCAAAATCTCTGTGGGTGTAATTGCCAAAGTGGGGAAAAATAAAATTGTAAAGAACCAATTTTTAAATGTTTCTCTTCCAAACCCAATAGAATTGATGTTAGTTTTTTTTTTCTGTTATGATAATTTCCAGGAGTACCTCTACTTTTTCTAAGTCTTCTACCATAACCCCTAAGAGATTAGATTTTAGTCAAAGTGATCAAGCTGACATTTTTCAAGGTCATTTTCTATAGGTAGTAGAGAGTACATGATTGGATTTCAAATACACTCGAGTAAATCACAATGGCAAGAAACAGGGGGACCTGAAACCTTGTGCTGTTTTCTGTTATTGAGTGCCCTAGCAGGGGGTTAGCCTGGATGAAAAAAATGAAATATAGAAGGATAGGCTGTCTGACTTATTTGATTTGTTTCTCAATAGAAGCTGTGTTAAAAGTTTCTAAGGCTGGGATTCTGAAGGATTCTGTCTTTCTGCAAATGATTACATTGAAATCAATTGATCTTTTAGTTCTTTCAAAAGTATACAATTCAAAATTCCTTGCAGTGTAGAAACTAGAAAGTTTGCGTTACAGTGTCTATTGAGAAATGAATCCTTAAGCGCTAACCAATATATAGATGCCAAAGCAAGTTATGTTTTGTTTGAGCTTGATTCTCTGAAGCCTTGTTTCTTGAAGATATTGTTGTACCTGAAAATGGTATTTATATAGCACTAGAAGAAAATAATCTACTTACTGTTACACTTTGGCATCCCTCTGAGAGTTATATGCCTACAGCAGGTATAACGGTATGCTGCAGGCACCGGTAAGAAATGAAAACTGGCAGTTTTCGTCCCTTAGCAGAGCCATAGTAATGTGAAAGAAAACATGTCTTTGAAGTACACTACAAAATAGCAGTAGGCATCTAATTTATTTATTACTTTACTGTGGATAATGCTCTATGGGGAGCTGCAACAATGGTTTATCATCCTACCTTGCCTTAAAAAAAAAAGAAAGAAAAGAGAAATTAGCAGTTTCTTTCCTGTTCTCAGTGTACATTTGTTATCCCAAGACAGACCTGTTTCCTTTTAAAGCTAACACGTGGTTCTGCAAGTGCCTCTTCATTTTCTTCCTCTTAATTGTTGTCCTTATCCTTTTTCTTTACTAGAAATACATATTTAGAGTTGATTTCAAATTTAACCTTCTGCAGAAAACGAGGGCTTTAAAATTTGAGGGATGACCTAGGAATCAGTGTAGGGGTGGTAACAAAGGGAATTGTATTTATTTATTTAGGTATTATCTTCAGAAGTATTAGTATTACTTTTGTTTGTAACATGTTACTGGAGGCTTCCCTTTGGACTAAATATGCTTAGGTCAGTCAATAGCTGTTTTCTGGAGTAGTATGCCAGTAAGTGTGGTGCAAAGCAGGAGTAATTTATGCCAGTGGTGTTTGGTAAGGTGTTAGACCTCTTTTCTTTTTTCTTAGTGTGCTGAACTGTCAAAGTTCTTGTTTTCTTTACATTTTTCTGTAAATTCTATTCTTTGGCTTCCTTTCAGCACTTCAACCAAAGAGGAGTATCTGTGGATTCTCCTTTCCTTAGGGACCAGCTGTGGCTGGAGGTGGTGAGGTGGAGTTCTTCAAAACAGCACCCCCAGGTGGACGCTCTTGTGGGATCATTTGCTCCACTGGCATTTCGCGGCTGTAACCCTGCCTTATCCTGGAGTAGTGACTGCATACAGGAGTCATTTCAGATAAATAAGATATGCCAGAGTATCCTGTTGATGTCAGAGTTTCAGTGGGCCTGAGATTCCACATACAATGCTTGAAAATGTGTGTGTGCTTCTTGTTCTACTTCAAAAGAAGTATTCGATACTGGAGCATTTCTAGTCTACCATGGAGAAATTGTTGACGTGATAACCAAAAAATCATATATTTGCGATTCTTTGGCTAGGAAGCCAAGTCTTCAGCTGCCTGAGTGTTTCCTCCTTTTTCTAGACCTTGTTTGCATCTAGGTTGTAGGTTCTTTGGAGCAGAACTATCATCTCCTGTAACATAGGCCTCCTCCTGACTGGAAACCATGGGTGGTGGTAATAAAAGCCTGGAGAAGGATGTATTGAGGCACTAAATGTTGTATTCTTTAAACAGTATGCAAGTGTGGAGAAGAATGGAGAATTCTTCATGTCTCCTCATGACTTTGTCACCCGATACCTGAAGATAATTGGAGATGGTTTGCCTAATGCAAGCACTGTACAGCTCCTTGCAGGTGTGGTGGATCAGACAAAAGATGGGTAAGTGTTTTTTTGTGATTTTGTTTTTGTTTGTTTAGGTGAGGGTTTTTTGTTTGAATTCTTTTTTGTTTGCTTGGTTTTGGATTTATTTTTTTGTTTTGCTTCTTTTTTTTTTGTAGTTGATTGGTTTATTTTTCTTTTTCTGTTTTTCTTTGTTCATTTTTAAAATTCAAAACCATTCTCTGAGAAGTCTAATCCCTGAAGGATGGTGTTTTGTTTTTCACTTCCCTGCCCCCCCCCCCCCCCGCAGATGCATAAAGGAATACAGTATCTTCTAAGTATCAAGAGTAGAAACAATGTTTTCAACAGCACCTACCATTTAGCGGCGCAAACCATTTTCTGTCTACTGTGTATTTTTAATTCACGGAACCTTTCATGTTTGTTGGATGGCTCCCCTAACTCCTGCTTTTCTTTCCTTCCATGAGTCTTTCTGTCTCTGTTTACTTTATGTATCTGTCACAAACACATCCAAATTGCAATCTAAAATAAGTTTAGATGGTGTAGGAAGAGATCCTAGAAAAAGTTACCGTGCTTTATTTTGCCATGGCTCTGTTAAAGGTTTTTTTGCTGCTGTTTTTTTCCTTCAAGAGGGAGGAGGAGCATCTAAGGTATTTAGAGAGTCACTCTGCAGACTTGGGAAGACAGCAGTGAAGTTGGTTGCACATGGTTTGCATTTGAAAGGCTGACTTTGCCAATGGGCAAGATCAGCTACCCCTCCATCTTCCTCCCTCTACTTAAATGAAATCTTAGCTTTTGCTTTTGGTACTTGCCCAGGCAAGCTGTCTCTTCACCCATATGAATGCATTTTTTGAACCCTCCCTTTAAAGTATCCTTAGAGAAACTTTAGAATAATTAGCTGTGGACTTAAAGTGTCTAGTAGTGGCATTTTTAGAAACCAGAAAACTTCAGGCATGACTCATATCAGTGGTTGCAGAGAGTAAAATGTGAGATAAATAAAGTATGACTAGAGAATGCAGGCTTCTTAGGGATAACTGAGAACTTCTGCAGTAGTTTCTGTGCTCTCTTTTCTGCTCAGCCGGTTCCATGTATCTGGCAGCTGGGCACCTTAAACCTTGCAGATGAGTTAGAGTGGTGATTGTTACTCTAGCAAAAGAATTCTGAAAAAGGTTATGTTGGTAACATTGATTGCATCAAGAAAACAGTGGCTTCAGGTAATGTTTGACTGAAAACATTAAGCATTTCTCAGATTTCTTCCCTTGGTTTGATGCCTGCAAAAATGTCATTTTCCAAATTACATGGCTTCAAATCCGTTTTGTAATAAGAAGATTGAGAGCATAATCCATACCTTGTGATTTGGATCTCCCTCACAAACAGAAGCTGGTGTCAGGAAGAACAAAATGTAAAACTGTAACCTATGTGAACTTGTTGACAAGTTGGGATTTCATAACTTGGCATGATCTTGTGGGAGTTTTGTGGTGGAGTATTGAGGCTTCTAATTGCTGCTTTCTGCTATGGGCAAGGATTGTTTCTGTAATCCACACTGTGCAGTGACAGGGGAGGACTGCGTGTTCCTAATGTGTCTTTGGAGAGTCTCTTCTGATGTTCAGGCTGTCTTTTTATTTAGCTGCTACACTAATACATGAAAGAATGGAGAAAGTTTGGAAAGTGATTGGCATCCATCTATTTAATCTGCATTTGCATCTTGTTCCTGTGGTGTATAATGTAATTGACAGAGTGATCATCTGAGACAAGGGCCAGTTGCTTTTTGGTTCCTGGCATGAAATCTCCTAGAGGTGAGAACATCTAGGAGGACATCCTCCTAGAGGATGTATTGGTCTTCTCCTTTTGAATGCTTTCCAACTTGGCAGGCCAGAGCTCCCAGTTTTTAAAGTGAAGCACAAAACTGCTTTTGTTAGTGTTCATATTTAGTAGGCTTGTCGGTGCTTAGAGACTTACACATGTTCAAGGTCATGAGAGTATGTTCAATAATTTAGCTTTAGTATAAAATAGAAAGTATCTTGCAAGGGCAATGGCAAAATTTTGTTACAGTGTTAGTGGCTAAAAGTAGTTTAGTTCTGAGAATACTGCTAGGATATTTCTAGAAGTGTTTTATCCACTGTCTTGGATCCCCGGTTTGCTCTGAAGAAGCAGCTGTTGTTCATGACTGGTGACCATGACCACTTGTCACTAAAAGGATCTGAGCCAGGATCACAAGGGCTGTTCCTTGCATTCTTTAGAATGCTTTTCAATTTCTTCTTGTTTTGGTGAGAAGATGGGTAGAGGTACCAAGTGTAATCAGTGTGGAATACTGAACTTGGTAAGTCACACGGGTGAAAGACGGACAGCTCAACAGCTTCTGACTCATGAGCAGAGCATATAAATGGGCAAAGAATTGCTTACCCCAGAGCTGAAGAAGTTCTGAGTGTAAAGTGGAAAGAACAGCAACTCTTACATACAATCCCACAGTGTACTGTAGGCAAAATCTCATGTAGCTTTAGCACAATTCCTGCATTGCCAGAGATTAAGGATTTGAGCGTATCTACAGGAGCTGCTGTTGTTGTGACAAAGGTACAAGACCTCTTAAAGCATATTCTGTCATTCAGTGAATATCTGTTGCCATGGGAGCAAGTTTTGCCTCCATCTTAAGTCAGGGCAGAGGTTTATTTGGAGGTAGGCTTTCCTGCTGTTCTCTTCTGAAGGCATGATTTTAAGGTTTCCTCTAAGAAAAGGAAATAGTTACCTTGGCGATGTCCAGATGAACCTTTCAAAGTAGTTGATTGGTAATAACACAGGGGTTTTTAAGTGTTATATTGCGTGGTTGTTTGTATGAAACAGACTGAAGAGCCTTGACTGGTTCCTGGCCTTAAGCCTCTCATTGCTAATCTTAGTTTAAAACTATGCTTTATTTGGCTTCAGCTGGATCAGAAATTCCCCCAGAATACAGTGGCTTTCTCAAGGCCCGCCAACAACAGGCCAAGCATTTTCTGTCCTGCCTACTGTAACATTGTTTTGCAATTTTTTGTTTTACTTTTAAACATGTCTCTAACAAAATAAGTATTTACTGCATGTCTCTGTTTGGACTGTAGTAACTAACACTTTACTGAGAAATACCATTGCTTTATTTTTAGAAAGGACAAAGTATTCAAAGATAACACTTGGAAATGCCAGCATTTTTCATTATTATTGGGTATAAATTTATCCTCTAACGGACCAATTTGCACTATACTTAGTTTACCTAGCTTGGAGTGTAAAATAATAGATGTAGCTTCAATTTGTGTCCCATTATGTTACCGTGTTTAAATTGCTGATACAGTAAAAACATATGCATTGATTTCTGAAGAAAACTGTTCATCATTGCATTTGTATGTATTATTACAGTGGGTAGTGGCTTTTTTTCTTTGCATGGCTATATGCGGACTTTCTCAAGTGGGAATGCATCATGTCTGTGTGGTGTCCGGATACCACGGGCGTGAGCATCAAAAGAAGCAGCATGGAAGAAAGGAGAGAGCAGTAAAATAGTGGGTTTGCTGCACTATACCCAGTTGTTGTGTTTGGACTGAAGCTCTTGTGTGTGGATGCTTTTAAAATATCAAGATCTGAGTCTTCCTGAATAAATCATGCAGTATTGACACTGATAATGAGGATGTGAAGGTAAAGGAAGACTTTGACCATTTGGGTAGAATATCTTCAAAACCGAAATAAAATTTTGTAAACATTTCAGCTTCCTCTCTTTGTACTGTTAAAATCACTGGGTTTTTCTCTGCTTTTGTAACATAAATGAGTACTTGTTTAGGTAGATAAAATATACTACTTAAGTAGTATATTGAAGTCCGTGTTAATATGTGCTGTTTAATGACACCTAATGTTATTCAGTGACGGGCTATGGTAAACCCAAAAGGGTGATGCTAAACTGGAGAGAAAATGTGTTACCCAGGCAACTACCCTTGTGCAGTATAGAGAAGTGAGCATATGGCTATGTAGTACACATTATTTCAGCATCTTTAAGCATTAAGAATCACACGTGTAATTGACTGTGAAAAATTACTGCTCAGTTACTGTATTGTATGGTCATAATAGAAGTAAATGAATACGTCGTTGTTAGAATAGATCTGTTGGGAATCACTAGCAGGCTAGTCTACTTAGGGAGCAAAAATACAATAAGAAGAAAATAGCTGGTTTAATTAACATGTAAAAATTGGGTTAATTTGAATTCAGCTGGCACAGCAGATATTAATGTCTCTTCTTTAACAGTCTGGCTAGAGCCACACAATTTGTACACTTTTAATATTCCTAGTACTGTGAATAACTGTTTTAAAAAATGGATAAAGGGTTATTTTAAGCATCTATTCTGACTTAATATGGGGATTATTGCTTCCAAGTACTGAAAAAGAGTGCTCTTACCAGTATAAAATCTTGTAGCAGTGTTAATACATGGAGTTTTAATCAAATCCAGGACTAGTAGCATAGAATGTGTTCTTAGCATGGTGGTGGGATTCTGCTGGTATAGGTGCTGTATTTGTTTTCTGTGTTCTCATCACTGTATTGGGATCCATTGGTAAGGACATGCACTAGTTGTTGTTTCACACAGAAAACAGCTTTACCATAATGGTGTTGACAAAGATTGTGCATTTATAATTCTAAACAATCCTGTTCTAGAGTCTTGTCACCTGCTGTCTGTTCTGTTCTGTTCTTTCTCTGTGTGTGCATTATAATCTTTGGGACAGAACTCAGTGCTTTGCATCTTTTTACTGTTCTGTCAGGTATGTAACCAATAATAATGACTAATAATGACCTTTTATAGACTGTAAGTCACATTGTAACAGTAAATATGCGTAAATAGGTTGTGATAAATTGTTTTAAAATTGAAGGAAATGTTACTTTTGAAAAAAATTAGTTAAGAAGAGATGGAAGTTTTCTTTCTTTTAAAGGCTGAGTATCTGTGTATTCTGTGTCTAACAGGGAGGAGTACTGAGAGTTCCCAAGGAGTTTAAAGTAAACCATTCCATGGCTTCCCGTGTGCTAAAATGTGCATATGTAATAAGTCACTGGCTTCTTTGCCAGTAAAGCCTAAGGCCTGCTTATATGTTTGCTGGCATTGTCAATTGTGAGTTTAATCTTAAGAATACCTGAGGAGGTTTCTTTTTATTTACTTCTCTCACTACGTAATAACCTATGGTGGCAAGTTCTCAGAGTTAATTGTTAAACTCTACATTTCCTTTACTTTTATTTATGCATATATATTCAGGGAGGTAACGTGGAACAGCTTTTAGGCCTTCTCTGTACTGTGCTTTTAAAAAAATGTCCTCTTTTGTTCATCGTCTCGTGTTTTTATGTTCCTCATGAAAGTCAGCTTTTCTTACCCAGTGGATGTTTGGCTGCTGAGATGCAGCAAGCACACTTCTGTGTGACTTGAAATTAATTCCTTTAAGACAGGGTGACTGGAAATTGCTGTATAGTCATGGGTCATCATAACTTGATGGAACGAATGTCTTTTCCAACCTGTTGAAGCCTTCGGTTCTTCACTGTTACTGCATGCTGAGTATAAGTTTTCATTGAACTGGCTGCATTATTGTTTTGAGTCAAAGTCCTAAGGGGTTTTGTGTGTTTCTTGACATTTGGTACACTAAATTTTGTGCTTCTCAGAAATAAATCTTTGTTCTCCAGGTGCTGCCATGTGAACTCATTAAAGCTACACGCTGGCTACAGTGACATACAGCAGCCTGAGAGAGGGCAATCTTAAGTCTCCCAGACTGCCAGCAGGCCCTGCAGCCACACATTTGAAGATGATTTTAAGCTGTACAACCTAGACATTAAAGAAGTAGCAAAACAGAAGAATGGTTGGCCTTTGCCTCTTTAAGAGTAGGAGTCTGATCTCCATTTGAACTCTTGGGTGTGACCCAGGGAAATTAGAACAGCTCAAGGTCTTTGCTGTATCAAATCTACTGCTGGAAACAATGCCAGGTTGTCTAATTAAGTGTTTCTGTTTATGAACTAACTTAAGGAAGGGCATCTCTGCTTTTATCTGTGCTCTGCTACTGTGCTTGCATATAGGGAACCTGGCTGTAATGATGAATTTGAATAAGCTGCTCTTGGGCTAAGGAACAACATGCAGACTATTACTTGAAATTAATGATTCAACACGCAGGACTGGAGGGCTGTGATGGATGACTAATAAGTTGCTAGCAAACAGATAACGCATTCGATCGGTTCCTTCTGAAGTGAGTGGCAGCATGTAGGTCTTGAATGGATTTGCTTTACAAAAGCCCTAAGTACTGAGTCTTGAGGGAAGTTACTCATGTCTTTATTACCTCTGTCTTGCCAGTGGAGAGAGGCAGGCTCCCCCAGAGGGCAGTTCAGTTAGACATTAAAGCTGAGGTGAGTAGCCACGTTGAGTGTTTTGCTTATGTTCTGTTGTGACTTGCTGAGAGTAATAATTCCTTGTCTAACAGACATTTCCGTCTAGTGATATAAAAGCTTCCTGAAAGCATTGAGGATAGGTTCCATTTTAATCCCTATTGATAACAGTTTGTACACATTTTGGTTGTGATCTTATTTCTTTTGTATAATGTATGTTATATTGTATTTCAGTATTCTGCAAGCAAGTGGTTTCATAGCTCTTGCTTTTTACTTCATCCCTTAGGTTGATATCCTTTCAAGAGTTTGTGGCATTTGAATCAGTCCTGTGTGCTCCAGATGCATTGTTCATAGTAGCCTTTCAGCTATTTGACAAGACTGGCAAAGGAGAAGTTACTTTTGGTAAGATTGTTCTTAAATATACATTCCTAATGTAAAAATCTCTACCTATGCCAAACTATTTCACCTTCTATTTACTGTAGGAGATGCAGTGATTGGCAGTGGAACTACACTAGTGCCAAGCAGTTTTATGTCTGAATTCTTTTAATCATTTATGTATGCACAGTATGAAGCCAAGGTCATGGTAATTATCATGGTTTTCTCTGGAGAACTGGTCACTTCTCTTTTTCTCTTCCCCAACATGCTTGTACAGGTCTTCAGAAGAGCAGTGAAAGGTGACTAGAGGAAATGATTGTAAAACCACAGGAAAGTTTCCAGAAGACTTGGGTGAATGTTGGGTCTAAAATTATCCTGAATTATTTTTTGTTTAAATTGGCTGTATTTCAAGATGACTGAATTTTAAAGCTTAAACATTTATTCGATGAGATTTTACAGTAATAAATTATTTATTACATGTCCCCTTGCTGCCCCACCCCACCAAATTCAGGTTGCGTTGGAAGTGTGGTGTTTGCACTGATAACATGAAAAATATTCAGGCCAGTTAAAAACTTTATTAGGGAGACTGTTTATTTCTAGATACCCTAGAGATGGCTTTTGATATCTGTGGGAATATCTGCCACCTGCCATTCTATCTGGAAAAAGGATTCAGAAATTAGCAGTTTTAATAACTTCTGCTGTTGAGTTTGCTCTTCAAAAAGTATTGGGGATTATTTTGCTAAGTACCTAAACTGTATAAAATTGCTATTTCTAATCTACATTTGGACATGGTTATCCCTGTGTATCAAGTTTTATTAATTGGTTGTTAGACAGTTTTAAGAAAAACGAAAATTGGATGGTGTTGACCCTGTCTTTCTGAAATATATGGTTCACACATCCATTGTCTTTTCCTAATATTCCCCACCCATGTTTTATGCTCAGTTAAAAAAGCCCTTCCCTTTCCATTTGAATTAACAAGGTTCTGTTATCATTGGTTGAAGCATCATTGTATTAGTTCTACCATCTCCAAAAATCTGTATTTGAAGTTGCAGCAGGTGAGAAGACTTGCTGTTTCTTCTTGTGTCTGTTTTGTTTTTTCATTACTTCGGTTGTCTGTTGAGATTGTGAAAGACTTTTTGTGTGCAATGTTTTAAAATTTACTACAGATGCTAAGAGATTTGCAAGAATTCCAGGAAAAATTTCTGCAGATCATAACCTTGATGAAGGAAGTATTTTGTGGCTTTCAGTCTTGTGTTTGTGGACAGAGAGGCAATGAGAGATACCATGCTTTTAAAGCAGGAGGGAGTGTGCATTTTGCTAAGGTTTTGTTCCAGAGAAGACAAGCCAGGGTTCCTGGAATGCCTGTGATGTGCAGGTTCTTGTCTGCGTCAGAGCCTCCGGTTGCTTGGAGTACTCATTAATAATCTTGGAATAACTGTAGTCGTTTGATCTGAATGCTGAATCAGTGCGACTTAACTTTTTAACTCTTGACATTCTTGTTCATATATTTCCTGCTGTCAAGTGCTTCCCTTGGGGTTTGACACAGTGAATCAAAGGATTTGTTTGGCATTTGAAGTCCATTGAAGTCCTTCTAGTGATGAGAGAAAATCCCATGCCAGGCTGTATTTAAGATATTTGAAAAAAGGAGACAAGCCAACATTGGCAGAACCTCAGATAGCTTTCTTTTAATTCATTCGTCTCCCCCTTTGAAACCATAAATGTATTTGTAACTTCTGTATAGTACCTTGTGGCTGCTACCCCAGCAAATGCCTGGAGTGAGGGGAGTGGGAGAGCCGTCTCAGTGTTGTGCATTCTCAGCAGAAATGGTTGATCTTTAGACAAAGCTATCTTTTTTCCTGTCACAAGGAAAAAAAAAAGTATTTTGAAAATTAAAAAAAATAGCATTGTGAAAAAAACCACCTAATATTTTCATAAATAAATTACTAAAATACTGTCCTGTAGCTTTGTCACTCAGTGCCTTAGTCATGCATCTTTGAAGTTATTTAAGAGATCTTTTTCCATTCACCTGAATGAGAGTGGGATCAAGTCCTTATCAAGGTTAGGAGACTTAAATAGGGGTTTTGTATACTGTGGCATTATGGTGTGAAAAGAGCAGAAGAAAAGGGAAAGGATCTTTTTCAGTATACTGCTGTTCAGTGTGGTATATCAAGGATCTCATTTTAAGTCTGTATCTCATTTTTTTGGTAAAGAAACAGCATGGCTTATCTGTGCAGTCACTGTTTTTCTGTACAGTAAAATAATGGTGTAAATATTTTAGCTTATACCAAACAGAATATAGGCCTTCTCAGCTGTGAACTTCACATTTTCTACTAAGCAAATTGTCCAAATCTTATTCTTCCACAGCTGCACTTAGCTTGGTACCTTTGTAAAATGAATTAATAATGGGCTTTATGTCAATGAGCTTTTACACTGAATGCCACATCCAGGCTGTGGATATTCAGAGAAATGTTCTGGGTAAAGAAGTTCTAGTATTTAACGCTTTGCATGTACTTTTCTTGAAAAACGCTGCACTATTACGTTAGCTTCTGGATTGGAAATGCATTTGCATTTTGGCCATACATTGACATCTCTACAAGTTTAAATGTTTCACTTCTTTCAAGTTGAAAGTTAACTGTGCCTGGTTCTTTGACAGGGCTAATATCTACTTAAAGGGCTGATCTGCAAGCAGTGTGGGTATGTGGAGGGGGGGGGAAGTATTTCTAGTTTATTGCTTTTTGAGGTGAATTAAATAGCCACTAGTAAATTAGTGGCCGGTGTTTGATTGAGAGTACACCTGGCTGTTGCATCATGTCTTAGATTTACCTGCTGCTGAAGTGTCAAAGCTTTGACAGTTTGCAAGGAGTTAAAGCTCTCAGCAGGAAAGTGAGAGGAAGTTTAGCTGGCTTTTAAATTCGAGGCAAAGAGCAAACCATTGCTTCTTGCTGTTGAGTGTTGACAGGCACATAAAAGCTGATAATGTAAGTCCAGGGGTTTAAGAGACTTAGTAGAGTTGCTTTTTCGTAGTATGACTGTATTTTAATGCCTCATTAAAGAAGCTGAGCCCTTTGAAATTCTTTACTAGATGGCATTTAAAAAAAGGCAAGATGGTTGGATAAAAATGTCAGTGTTTAAAAACTACCTCATCGTAACCTTCATCTTTAATTTTGAATGGGTAAATGAAAAGATGGGACCTAACAGTTCTGAGCAGTGTATACCACAGCAGTGATATCCACAAACTGGAACCTTCTTTGTCTGATATCAATTTTCCATGTTGGTTTTGCTCACAGAGAAAGGAAACAAAAAGAGATGAGGTTGCCTGAGTCTGTGCTGCTAACCATCGTGAATCTGGCTTTGGAGATTTTAATTCCGATTTGTTTTAAAGTAGAATTTTCCACCAGACATTCTTGCTCTTGTTCTTAGTGAAATGTAGCTGTGGTATACTATGTGATTTTATAGTTTTGGTTTTCTTTTTTAAAGGTCCTCTAATGCAATCTGAAGCTCTGTGCTGCACTGCTTTGAGAAATATGAGTATGATGTAGAATGTCAGTTCTTTAATTTAAAAAAAAAAAGTATAACAACCCCCCACCACCACCAAAAACACAAAGGAAATGGGGAATGCAAACCCCAAGTTTTTGTTTGCTGAGCATAACAACTGCAGAATTGAGTAATGTATTCTACTTTTGTCTCTAAACAAGACTTTATTGACATACAGGCAGCAGCTATTGTGGGTCACTGCTTCTGTTATTAATTATTTTAGTACAGTTCTTAGATAAACACATTATACATCTTACTAAGCATTCTTGTTTGCTTATCTGATACTTAAATTACCTGAATACTTGTTTATAAACTTTCTAAAAGGATTAGCTCTTAACAGAGGTTTAAATAGCTATACAGCTATTGTGATGAACTTCAGAGTTTTTTCCTCTATGATAATGCTGTAAGACTTTTTCAATATGCAAAGAATTATTACAGGAGTTTCATAATTGCTTTCATGACCAAAGAATTAGGTTCAGATTGTGTGAGGCAGCTCTTGCTTTTGTTACAGAGGGTTATTTATTTTGTGCTTTGCACTGTAATTGCTGATATGACTTGGTTCTTCTTATAGAATCTATAATTTTTTTTATTTCTTGCACAACACCTAGCTTAGTGATGCCCAGCGTGGTACAGTCAATACCATGTAAAGCAAGTAAAAACGAAATCTGAACCAACAAAATAAATTGCTGGGGCTGTAAGCTTTGATCACTTGATAAACTGCAATATTCAGTATTTATTAGTGAAATTTCCCTTGCTGGTTCAAATTGCTTAGAAACCATTTGTAGCTAGTGATGTGTTAGCTTACACATCACAGTTTCACCTATACAGTGAAACTTGTTGGTTTATAAATGACAACTGCCTAGATATGATGATTCCACTTGCAACACTACAAATGCAAAACCTGTTTAGTCTCTGGTGTTTTTTGTTATTTGTACTGGATTTTGCACAAATAGTTGCCAGTTTTAATTACAAGAGGGTGTAAAGTAGACTTGTTGGTATATTTGTTTTCTTCAAAATGATTTTTGAAATCTTCTCTGACTAATTTTGGAGAATTTCATTTCTAGACATATGTCAACTTGGCAAGTTTGGTTTTTTTGGTTTTTTTTTACTTTTAACTGATGTTACGTAACCAGGCAGACTTTGATGCAGGCATCTTAAGTAAAATGGAGCCTGTTTAGATACAAAATGAATCTGTCATTCTAAATATTATGAGAAGCTTTGTCCTTTTACACTGCTGGGTTTCATTTGGTCAAGAAAATGCAATTTAGTTTTCTAAATCATCCATAACTGAAATTTGGTGTTTCAGTTTGTTCTTTGTTATTGGTTACGTTCTGTTGTTTTGTTGGGAATGATCATAGAATCATCAAACAATTCAGGTTGGATGGGACTGTGGCAGCCGTCTGGTTCAAACCCTTGCAACATCATCAGGACCAGGTTGGTCTGGGGGCAACATCTAATCAAGGTTTTACATGTCTTTGGGGATGGAGATTGCA